TCCTTCAGGATTTGGCCCTGCCCATCCCAGCTGTCTCAACTCCAGCTTTCTGCCTAAGGCACCCTATACTCCTGCCCTCCCAACTTGTGGTTTTCTTGACCTGATGTGCTGTTTTCAAATTTCTGTGCCTTTGCACGTACATTTTCCTCCACCTAGAATGCACTTCTCAAAGCAAACTCCTAGTCATACATTAATATCCAGCTCAGAAGTATGTGAAGCCATACAAAGACAGCCCCATGCCATGCAGGCCTTCTAAGGAAAGGGATCATGTAAATCCTGGCACATAAAAAGGTGCTCAATAAATATTTTCTGAGTGAATGGCCTTGCATTAGTTTTTAGAAAGACTAAAACGTGATACAAGCAAAAGCAAACAACAGCTATTTTCTATTACTGAAAGCATGTATTTTTCAACTCTGATCTTTGGTTGAGTGTCACTTAGGAACCAGACAGATTGGGATGCTCTATTTCTTCCTAATTGTGTGTCCTTGGGCAAGTTAACTAATCTTTGTCTCATTTCCTCACTTACAAAGTAACTATCTTTGCAGTGTGGATATGAGGATTAATTAATATTATGTTAAAAAAAAGTGGTGACTACATGGTAGGTCTACTAGTTTGTCATAATCACAAAAAGCTTAATAGATCAGGATACTGTACCATTGGGAATGTGATCACAATGAAATTTTGGTTGGAAACATCTGTTTCCGGGGGAAGGGAGAGTTGAAAGTCAACAAATCCTATTCCTATTCTGATCCAATATTAATCCCTTAATGACCACTATCTCCCTTGGCTCCTCTGATAATGCCCACTCAGGGTTCTCTGGTCTCTCAGATCACACTTTCTCTGTCCTCTTCTGTAACTTGCCCTCTATTGACACCTAAAGTCAGGCATTCATTCCTTTAGCTAAGTTCTTACATTTTTCCTCATCTTGTCCACTCCCAAGGCTTCAATTAGTATCTCTATGGAGATAACCCTATAATCTTTCTATCATATTCAGAAAGTGTTTCAAATTTAACTTATTCAAAATAGATTTCTTAATTAGATGATCAAACATACAGCTTCAATTTCTCCTCTCATACCCTTTCTTTTTTTCATGACTCTTATGCATCTCACCAGCATTACCTTTTTAATCTTTCTATTCTACCTCAGTGGCTCTTAATCTTTCTGGGATAATGGACCCTTTGGAAATCTATTGAATGCTATGGATTGCTCACTAAACAGATGAACATACCCAACATCTATTTGCAATTTTACCTAACCAATGACCTCAAATGAGAATCTGTGCCCATCCACGCAATACTAAAACTTTCACAAGTTTTCACCTCCAGGTTCTACCTTCCCTGTTACAAATTTCAAGATGCCCCTGGATATAGCCTAAATGGCCAACAGGCACCACAAACTTAATCTGAACCAGACCTCACTATTTCTCCCTAACAAACCTGCTCTACCTCTGGTATTTCTCCTTAAATAATGGCACCACCATCCTCCAAGGGTTCCATGCTAGAAGCAGTGGAATTACAACTATGCCCATACTTAGTTAATCACCAAGCCTTGTCTCAGAAATCGCTCTCCAATCCAAATCCTACCTCTCTCAGCCTCTTACTTTTAAGATCTCATCATTTGCTTCTTCCCACACTTGCCATGATTAAGTCTTTCTATCACTCTTCTGACAAGAGCCGGATACTAATTCTATCTTTATAAGGTCTTATAAAGTCTCTCACCTCCATCTGCTATCTTCCACTGCCACTAGAGTTACAATTAGCCCTAATAGATTCCCCCACCTCAGTTTTTTTTTCTTATTTCCACCTGTGTTGACCTACCTTCCCCTAAAATTTTAAATTGATCACATGACTGCTTCTTTACAAAAACACTGATGCTTCTTCATTGCACAAATATACAAATTCAGTTTTGCCTTTACAGTCCTCTACAATGTGGCATCTAATCCAGGATCAGATTCCACTGTTTACACTATCTCTTATGCCTACTATCTACCAAAATCACACCCACTCTTCAAGGCCCAATTCAAACTCCACTCTTCATCTTTATATCCTCCACACAATGATTAGCAAAGAGCTCTGCACAGAAAAGGCAAATTCCTAATGAACTGATTCAGGAAATGAAAAAAGCAAAACAAAACACAAAAAGCTTGAAAATCCTCAAAGCCTTCTGGAAGCATGATGTTTTTAAAAATATTACTATTCAAATATTAACATTTCAAGTAAGAAGCCTTCCACACAACCATCACTGCTAATCAACATTTATTAAATGCTAATAATATGCAACATAATTAAAGTCTTGCTAGGGTCTATCATCAACCTGAAGATAAAAAGCTATAATATAGATCCAGAGTTTTAATTCCAATTATATTTGTATTTTATTTAAGAAAGAAAAATTAAAGTAAGAGGATTTGGCATTTCACCTAATACTTAGGTCAAATAAGTCTACAGCAGTGATAGAAAGTTACCAGATCTAAATTATTTTCAGACTAGTAAAAATCCTATCAAATAGGAAAAAGAAAAAAACTTTCTCTTTTTTTTTTTTAATATATTTTATTGACTTTTTACAGAGAGGAAGGGAGAGAGATAGAGAGTTAGAAACATCGATGAGAGAGAAACATCGATCAGCTGCCTCCTGCACATCTCCCACTGGGGATGTGCCCGCAACCCAGGTACATGCCCTTCACCGGAATCGAACCTGGAACCTTTCAGTCCGCAGGCCGACGCTCTATCCACTGAGCCAAACCGGTTTCGGCAAAAAACTTTCAATCAAAATATCCTAAACCTAGCCCTGGCGCATGGAGGTTAGTGGTTAGTGTGTCAGCCCACGCACCGGTGGGTCACCGGTTTAATTTCCAGTCAAGGGCACATACAATGGTTGCAGGTTTGAACCCTGGTCTAGTCCACGCGTGTTTGGGAGGCAATCGGTGGTTGTCTCTCTCACATCGATTTTTCTCTCTCCCCCCACCCTTCCACTCTCTCTAAAAATCAATGGAAAAAATATCCTCAGGTAAGGATAAACAACAATAACAACAAAAACTGTCTTAAACCTAAAGATTATTTCAGTACCTATTTTAGATGCTAATTTCTTTTAAAGGGGATGAAGGGCTTGATGAGCAAATCTGAGCCTCTCGTAGTGGAACACTTACTGGCATACTTACCAGCAGGTACAACAGCATCAGATATGACAGAGAAGTGGCGCTGCAGGCAGTACTTTCTCTTCATTACTTTCTAGTGCAGCGGTTCTCAACCTTGGCTGCACATTAGAATCACCTGGGAATCTTTTTAAAATCCTGGTTTCTGGACCTCATCCTCCGGAAATCCTGTTTCTTTGTGATGGGGTGGAGCCACAACATTAGTAACAAAGAAACAGAATTTCTGGAGGATGAGGCCCAGAAATCAGGATTTTAAAAAGATTCCCAGGTAATTCTAATGTGCAGCCAAGGTTGAGAACCACTGTTCCAGTGCCTTATTTCTTTTAGGCCTGACCTAATTTAATTTCTCTTTTGGCTCCTAAGCCTCTGAGTTCATGTTAATTTCCATAGTTGAATACTGTGAACCATTGTGAACCATTTTGCTCCCGACGAGGATGAGAATACTCAATGTTGAATTAAAGTGGGTTTTTAAAAAATAGAATTTAAACTTGTCTTTCTATCTAGCTAACATACTTGGCAAAATAGGACCTCTATGACATTTCTAAAATTACGATCACTCAAATTTGAATGTTCCTGAAATACATTTGCTTTACAACAGTAAAATATGCTAAAACTGTAAAATTATTAGTAACACTATTTAAGGGTGATGGCAGGGTGTCATGGAAAGAACTGCAGCATTTGAAACAGGATCTTAGTCTACAATCTCATGTCTGACTCCTTAGTTGTGACCTTCGGAATTGGCTTCACACTGAAATACCTTCTCACCTGAAAGAGATGGTATCACCACCTTCCCCTCCCTCGAGGTGGAAGTTCAGATAAAATGAGGGAATAATGTACCTAAGCACAGTACTTGCCACGAAGTGTTCAATGAATATTAGTTTGTTCTTTCGTTCAACAAAAAAGACACAGTCACAGGAGTTAGACGTAAAGGAGCCTAGGCTTCCACAAGTCTTCATCAGCATAAGACACCACAGATAGTTGGTGCTAATAAAAACAAGGCTGTCGCCAAACCTTCCTGAGGAATCTGGGTTAAGATGAGGCAGCCCGCATGCGTCTGCAAGAACTCCATTAAGGCGGCATAGCTATACACTGGCCATTAAAACACGAACACTAAAAGTCCACGGTAATTGTGCTATGACGTCTGGATGCCTTTTTGCTGGTAAGAGAGTTCACTCGGGGTAAAGAAAAAAAGAAGAAAGGCAAATTAGGACCAACTCCAAACGACTTTTTTAATAAATGGAAAGAGCGATGCTGACTTAATCCTTCCTGAAACGTCGACGGTACGATATGAAAATCCATTTAAGAACTTCAGGATTGAAATATTCCACAACTAATGCTTTTTAGAAAGCCTGCGCAGGAGAGCACTCAGCACCAGGGAAGGTATTTAATGAAAGCCGTCCGCGGAAGACACAGGCGAGGGGAGGAAAAGAGAGGATCGTTTCTGCACACAAACCGGGGCGAACCGCTTTCAGGACCCAGGCCCCCGCAGCCCCGACAAGCATCTGGAGGAATTCCGGGCTTTCTACCCGGACGTCAAAAAGACCACCTCACTCGCAAACTGGGGGTGGGGTTCCGTTCCCCTCCTGGGGGTGCTGGGTCGCCCGGGTCCTGGCCTCCGCCCCGCCCCCCCCACCCCCCCGCGCGCCACCCCTCTACGCCGCGCGGGCCGGCCAGCCAAGTGCCGCGACCAACACCCCGAACCTCGATGGGCCCAGGGCATGCCCCGGTGCGCGGACCGCGGCGAAGCCCGGGGTCGGGGGCGCGGAAGGCCCGAGGCGCGGACGAGGCCGCGGCTGCGTCCCCGAGAGGTGGGCGGGCGCGGCCAGGCCTGCGGGCGGACGTGGACACTCACCACACCATGCCGTAGGCGCCCTCGCCAATGTATGAGAGGTTGGTGTAGCGCGGCCCCACGTCGAACACCTGCCCGCGGACCATCTCCGGGCCCGCGCCCGCCGCCGCCGCCGCCATGTTGGTTGCCGGGCCGCCGCCGCCTCCGCCGCGCTGGGCTTGACGCTCTGTGGCCGTGTCTCGGCCCACGCCGCACCTCCCGTAGGGACCGCGCCGCTGCCGGTGCAGCCGCCGCCGTTGAGCGGGAAGGAGCAAGGAGGGCGCCGCTCAGGAAAGCGTGAGAGCCCAGAGCAACTAGGACCGACTGCCTGTCCGACTGACTGACTGACTGACGGGCGGGCCGGCGGGCGGGGCTTACGCTGAGGAGGGCGCAGGGGCGGGGCCAAGAAGCGTGCGCGTGGATTGGCTCTCCGAGGCCTGGGGGCGGGGTTATTCGGTCCGGCGGAAGTAGCGAACTCGGGGCGGAACTCGGCGGCGGCACCGCCCTACGCGGTCACGTGCGCTAGCCCGGGGGTGGCTCTTGAGACGTAGGAGGTCTCCACGGCGTCGGGGAAGAACCCGTTGGACTGATCCTGACAGAGAGTCAGGGACAGGGAAAGCTGTGGAGTGTGGTCCTGACTCAGCCATAGAGTGACCCCGGTCTGCGTGTGAGGGACAACGACGCGCCGCACAGGGGCTTCGGGCCTGGGCCAGGCCTATGAGAGTCCGTGGTCGCCACACCAACTTAGAAACATTGAGACCAGGGCAGAAACCGAAAAGGCATGACCGAGACCGAGACAGGTATTTGCATACTGAGAAAGTGTGAAACACAAAAGGTGGGAGGATCCTCTAATCCGACCAGAGGTTCCTTCAACAAGTGCGTGTTGAGCACCTACCAAGTTCCTGGACATCTTCCGTGACAGAAACTGGAGGAGATGGACAAATCAATATATGCTAGAGGCCCGGTGCATGAAATTCGTGCAGGGGAGAGGTCCCTCCGCCCTGCCCCTGTCCAATCTGGAACATCCCTCTCGAAATCTGGGACAGCTGGTTCCTAACTGCTCGTCTGCCTGCCTGATCGCCCCTAACCACCTCTGCCTGCCAGCCTGATGCCCCTAACTGCTCCCCTGACGGCCTGATTGCCCTTAACTGCCTCTGCCTTGGCTTCCGCCACAGTCGGACAAAGATATGCTAATCTGGTCTAATTAGCATATTACCCTTTTATTAGTATAGATAATGCTCAAGTTGTGATAAGTACTGTGAACTTATCACAGTACTTAAAAGGATTAGAGAGTACAGTAGTAAGTCTTCACTTAACAATGTAGAAAGATTCTGAGCCCTCAAGTGAAAGAAGGTATAAGGAAACCAATTTTACCACAGGCTAAGTTGATAGAAACAAGAATTATGTTCCTACAGCATCTCATCAATCCCTATAACCAATCCACCATATTTGAAGACCTACTGAAGTAGGTTCAGACATTAGAGAAAGACATTAAGATTAAGAGACTTATGCCTGTGGACCAAAGCATCCCGGGTTTGATTCTGGTGAAGGGCATGTACTTGGCTTCCCCCTGCCCTGGCCCTGGTCAGGGGGCATGCAGGAGGCAACCAATTGATGTGTTTCTCTCACATCAATGTGTCTCCCTGTCTTTCCCTCTCTCTTCCACTCTCCCTACAAATCAGTGGAAAAATATCCTCGGGTGAGGATTAACAAAAAAAAGAAAAATTCAGAGACTGAGACCTAGATGGATATAAAGGGATAGAAACTTAGAGGACATACTGATATGTAACACCAAAATGGAAATGCTAAATAAAAGCATCAAGATCTAGAGAATATGTGACATACACACGCTGAGGCTAAAAATAGTCATCAACAACAAAGGTTGAAAAAGAAAAACTGGAATCCTGAAGCAGGTGAATGCCAAGAATAGCTAAGACAAGAGAAATGATTCAGCCACTGCTTCTGAACCATTTCACAGGCCATGTTTAAAGGAGAGTAAGAGTGGAAAACCCTGCATCCTGATTGTCCAGCGCTGTGATCTTGAAAGCAGTCAACTCTGGATTTGCAGACAACCAAAATGATCAACTAGTTAATCTCAACTAGTTAATCTATTAAAGAGCCCTGAAGGAAAAACATATGTGGCACATGAGAAAAGAAGTGCTACAGCCAAAAATTACTCCTTGGAAATATATTTAGTCCATGAAGCAGAATCCAGTTTTAGAAAACACCTAATTCTTATTCTTGGCTATAAGAGGACATTGCACCTTTTAAAAACAGGCCAAGATAAATGGAGAGTACTGTGAAATTAACACCACAATAATCAAAGTAAAATTCATTGGTCGAAGCAGTAAAAAACAGATTTGACAATGTGGAAGAGCAAATCAGCAATATGGAAGATAAACAATTAAGTGATGGAATTCTTTAAGAGAGAAGAAAATGGATAGAACATCATGGAGATTTAAACTATAGGCATCTCCCAAAAGGAGACAACAAATCAATTAGAGGCAATAATTAAAATTATAATAAAAGAAAACTATAATAATAGGTCTAAAAATATCTGAGGTAGAGGTGGAAAATGGAGTGAGTTAATTGGGATCCAGAAACATTAATAAGCACAAACCAACTTCAAGATGTAAGCGGGGAAAATTCTTAAAGTTCAGGGATAAAGAACTAACAATATCCAATCAGAAAAAAAATGATTTACAAAAAAAGCTAAAATTTTTTTTCCAGATTCCTCCTCTGTAATAATTAAATGCCCAAAGGAATATGGAACAAGATAGACAGAACTCTGAGGGGTCAAGCTGTAATCCATAGATGGCTTCATTCCCTCCAGTGCCTTAATTTCTCCCTCATCTGAGAGCATGCTTAGAGAGATGGAGAGAGAGAGAGAGAGAGAGGGAGAGAGAGAGAGAGAGAGAGAGAGAGAGAGAGAGAGAGAGAGAAACATCGATGTGAGAAACATCAATCCATTGCCTTCTGTATGTGCCCAGCTTGACATTTCCAGACTGCACATATTCTACAGTCACACTGCCAGAGGGTTTGAATCTTGACTGCTCCTGTATGACCTTGTTCCTCAGTTTCTTCCTCTTCAAATCGTAAGTTTGTTGTACAGAAAAATAAGAGAACTTATGTAAAGAGCCTGGCGCACAGTAAGTACCCAATACATGTTATCTGTTGTTGTTATCTACCCCACCCAAACCTGTTCTTCATCTTGTATCTGTGGATAGCATCACCTTCACTCAGATACTCAAAATGGAAGTTTGGGTATGATCCTCAACAACTTATTTTACCTCCCTACCAACCACTTCCCTGCCCAACCCATCACAAACTCTTGTAAATTCTATTTCTTTACTTTCCGAAATCATTGCTATTGAAAACATGGTCTCCAGACCAGCAGCAGCAGCATCATGTGGGAGTTTGTTAGGAATACAGCACCTCAGGCCCCACCTCAGACCTACCGAATCAAGATCTGCATTGTAACAAGATCTAAATGGTCCTTAGTAAACTTTGAAAGCACTATTTTAAGTTTATTCACTTCATTTCCACTGCCATTCTGTTGCTTAAAGTCTGCTGCATCAATTTTTACCTAGACTGTCACAGTAGCCTTAACTGTTCTATCTTCATGTTACCCATCTCCAATGGCTTCTCTTTATTTATACCCAATCTTTCCGTAATAAAATTTACCACGTCATTCCACTTCTTAAAGCAAGTCAGTGGCTCCCAATGCTCTCAGAGTGAGGCCATGACTGACCATCCCTCCACTCCAATTCCTTTTACTCTGCCCTTCCATGGTCCAGCCAGACTAACCTACTCTCAGTTTCCTCTTGTCTTTCAGTCGTAGTGCATACCAGTATTTGTGGACATTTTAGAGCTACCACACTATCATGGCATGATGCACCTGACAGCTGATTGTCTCCAGAGAACTTCTCTTGCCTTGTTCCATGGGCAGTCAGCAACCTTATACTTAGAGATTGGCTTCACTTTGGTGTCCTGACAGAGAAAGTACACTTACCAGAAGACAGTCTTCTTCAGGTCCTGTGGCAATTATAGTTCATTCAAAGATGGGTTTTAGTTATATATCAGTCTCTACTGAGTCAGGTTAGCATGATCCAGTCCAGAGGGGAAAATTATCTAGCCACAGTGACAACAACAAATTTCTGGAAGCACAAAGGTGAGAACTAGGCTCTGGACCACTGAAACCAAACCACTGAAACCAAGCACCATCAAAGCATAAGACCCTACTTGGATGACTAGCTGGCCACCTGAATATCTTCCTTATTGTCTTTCTAGGGTGGTGACAATTCACAGATCTGTAGAAACTTGGAAAACAATGGACATCTGTGATTTTTACCTGCACAGCATCGATTCTTGCTCTCCCTGGTAGCACAACCCAATTTTCCATTGGTGAATGGTTTCTTCTGCACTCTCAAGAATAAGCATATGATCAGGGCTCCCCAATCAGAGTCAGAGACATTCCTTCAAAGGATGGGCATGTGACCTGTTCCAGGACAATGACACTCAGCCCAGACTTTGAAAGAAACAATTGGGGCCGAAGCCGGTTTGGCTCAGTGGATAGAGCGTCGGCCTGCGGACTGAAGGGTCCCAGGTTCGATTCCGGTCAAGGGCATGTGCCTTGGTTGCGGGCACATCCCCAGTGGGAGGTGTGCAGGAGGCAGCTGATCGATGTTTCTTTCTCATCGATGTTTCTAACTCTCTCTCTCTCTCCCTTCCTCTCTGTAAAAAATCAATAAAATATATTTAAAAAAAAAAAAAAAAAAGAAACAATTGGGGGAGGAAGTGTTCTCTTTCTGCTGGGGTGCTAAGGCAGTGAGTATGAGTCTGGGGCCAAATATGCCATGTTGTGAGAAATGCTCTCTTAGAATGACGGTGATACAGGAAAAACAGAGTCCATTTTCTGATGACATAGTTTGATACTATATTCAGCTGAGCCTGGACTTTACAGGCTCAGCTGAATAGATTCTCTTTTTTTACTGAAGTCACCTTGACTTAGGTTTCTGACCAATTAACTCCCTTTTCTGCAAAAAACTGTTCAGAATTGTACAATAAATCACCAAGACATGAATCAGAACCTCATGAATGATGAAATGAGAGAAAAGAACTGGCTATGAGCCATGAAACGAGCTAAAGATAGGGAGATAATTGAATAAAAACACCCCTCGGTATACACTGTTTGATGCTGATAGGTTGAAATAATTGTTGCTATGGTAACAAACAAAACACAAAAGAAAAAAAAGAGGATTTTTTTAAATAGCAGGGTTTTAACCTCAGATTAATGCAATGAAAACCAGAGAGGGAGAAAGGTGGTAGGAAAAGCAAGGCACACTAGGTCTT